CCACACTGAGAAACAGTTAAGTTGGGTGCCTCCTTTTTGCAGACGACATTTTTATCCTTCAGAAACAAAACATGAATTATAAAATAGCTTAGATAATCTTTCCACTTACACAAAATATTGGACTGATTATAGAGAAAACAAAAATAATGGTTTTCAATAAAAAAATAATCTTGTTCTATGAACGTGGAGAAATTAATGAGGTTAGACACTACAACTATTTAGGGGTTGTATTAAGTTCGAATGGAACATTTAAAGAGGCAATGAAAACATTAAGACTAAAGCATTAAAGCAAATCTTGGACATAAGCCCAATTTAAATCCACTTACAATGCTATCCCTTCTCGATAAACTAATTAGGCCCATACTAGTTTACAGAAGTGACATCTAGGGTCACGAAAGCATAATTGTTTGTCGTTTCGTTTTAGAAATCAGGAAGAACTTATGAATATTTATGGGGAACTGGGGAAATATCCGCTTCATGTATTCATCAAAAAACAATTAATTAATACATCATATGAATTGGTCAAATCAAACTACACTGTTAACTGAAATAAACCAAACACAAATTATCGAAATAACAATTATACTAAACGGCAGAATAATCAAGAAATTAAGTTTGGAAATTGAAAAAATATATAAACTATACTGGAAAAGGGACATTAACATAGGTACTGATGATAGCCAAAAAATCAGCCATTTTGGATACATATATATATATATATATATATATATATATATATATATATATATATATATATATATATCAGCCATTTTGAATCCAATCTGAAAAATAAAATGACGTGCATCAGGAACCTGTAATGTCTAATGTATGTTATAAGTATGAACAAAATCCATCCATAAATGCAAGAAATGCTTGATAATTGAGGATTTCTTTAGCACAAAAATAGCCACCATTTGGCCACTTTGAAATGGATCGTCAAACCAATATATCCGTATATCTATGACATGATGTATAATGAATATTAAAAAATAATCAGTGAAAACAAGTCGGAGATATGGGTCTAGAAGCCCATTTATTAAAACAAAATGACCGTAATCTGAAAAACAAAATTATTTGCATCACGTTCCTATAATGTATAATGTATATACCAAGTTTGAACAAAATCCATCTGTAAACAGCCAGGAAATGCTTGATTTTGGTGATATTTTAGCACAAAAATGGCCACCATTCGGCCATCTTTAATAGAATCGTCAAACCAATATATTTGTATATCTATGACATTATCTATAATGAATATTTAAAATGTGAACATAATCAGTCAAAGCAAGTCAGAGATTTGGCACTAGAACCACATTCATTAAAACAAAATGGCCGCCAGTTTTGAACAAAATCCATCTGTAAACAGCAGAAAAATGCTTGATTTTGATGATTTTTAGCACAAAAATGGCCGCCATTCGGCCATCTTGAATCAGATCGTGAAACAAATTGACGTGCATATGTATAATATCATGTATGATGTATGTGTGAAGTTTGATTGTGATTGGTCCAGGCAATTATAAGATACAGGTCCGGACGCACGCACGCACGCACACACGCACGCACGGACACAGGTGGTCAAAACTAACTAATAAACTCAGATGGTACAAAAAATTCAAAAGTGATTTCAATTTTGGAAAATTACGTGATCAAAATAAAGAATGCTGAACAACGTAAGTGTATCAGTAGGTTCAGTCTGAGCAACCATAAAATTGAAACAGAGAGGTATACCAAACCAAAACCTGAAATATGAAAACATGTGTTTAAATAATGAAGTAGAAGATGAGTGACATTTTATTATTAATTGCGAGAAATCACGTAAAGTACTATTTAAAGAAACTACTAAAAACATTATAAACTTCACGAATATGAGTGACTACAACAATTTTTTAAAATGGGTGATATAAACCTGAATGTACAAATACCAATTGCCCAATTTATCAAAAATAACACGAACAGCTACACTTTCTGGCAAGTTGACATAAATATTTTTCTCCTTTAATACTATTTCATTTCATTCCTTTTCCATGTTTCATTGATTTATATTGCTTCTTTACTGTTAGTATTATTATTATTATTATTAATGTTATTATTGTTATTGTTATTATTATTATCATCACTAGTTATCATCATTGTCGTGCTTTAGATAATATTTTTGTGACATGTTTTAAATATGTGTTCTTATAGCTTAGTAGTTATTGTAACCATTTTAATTTCTTCTGAGGAATTTTAAGTGTTTCAATAAACAAGGTAAACAATTGTTTATGCTCCTCACCAAATAATGAGTCGTGGATGGCGGTAGAGTGGGCAAAAACGAACTGTTCAATTTGATCTGGGATATGATTTGTTCTGAACTGTTGAGCGGAAACTCTGCAATAGTGAAGAGACATGACACATGACATGACATGACATGCGATCTGCCTTTCTTTTTTAATTTGGTTTCCATCCATATAACGATTTTATTTCCCTGGGAGTCAAACTCATTCCTCTCACACTCACATCCATCGTTGTTGCGATTATGAAAAGGTTTAAGACTGTGCACCAAAGCTCACGATTTGCATATTCAGTCAACGCAGTTGAGAGACTGTGGTCAACGATAGTGATAATTATGTAATCTGGCACTTGCGTATACTGTAATTTGGCCGGCTAACTCGGGGATTAAAATTAGAGCCTGCCCGGACACCACTTCCATGACCTATATATATTTAGTTCGTGTTAACACACGAAATCTAGGAAAGCCTAAAATTCGGGTGAGCCTGAGACACGCCTATTATCTGAACGACGCAACGAGCATGGTCTTAAATTTACTGCTTATTCTCGCACACACTATAAATAAAGTAAACATGCAATCGACCAAAGGCTGCACCGTTGGCATGATCACGTGATTTCCAGGTTTGAGTCCGAAAGAAAGTATTACGAAATTGCCACTACTGAACAGAGTTAGTAAACAATGTATTTATAAAATTCCTGTACTACATGTGTTTAATATTACAACGTACGTGATGTCTCTATGATAACAATTGTACCGTTTATTTCAAATTTGTATAGCCCAAAGATGAGATCTTTAATGCTAATCACCTGTTTTTCGTTCTTTTCTCCATCACTTAATTACACCACTGTTATGGTTATGACTTTTCATTGGCGAAACTAACATCCCAATAGTTTAGGTGTCATAACTGTTACATCACACTTTTCCCTTCTTCCTTATGCACCATCTCGTTATCTAGTCGGAGCTTCTTTGATTCAAGTTGGTTTCCCTAGCAATTGCCAATGTTCTACAAGTTGTAATTTCTTAGCTTATCCCTAGAATTCCGACCTTATTTGACCATAGACCTTTGGATCCTAGTTTTAATCGTTGCCTGGCGCTGCAAACCTTTTGTAGACAGCGGGTATCCAGATGTTTTGTATAAGATACACTTCTAGGAATTTATTGGGCTATGTTTTGTTTGAGTTTTTTTTAGCAGTTTAGACATAAACCAAGTAGTTGTTTTAGTTTTTGTTCGCATGTTTAAGTAAAATCAAAAGTGTTGCCATAAAGGTGATTTCATCACAATATTACACCCTCGTTTGGTTGTTGGAATCGAGCTGTGTATTTTTCGTTATTGTCTTGTTGGCCTTGAAGCTACATGTTTTCAATTCGTGAGATATGAATAAGTTTGAAACATTCGGCACAGGTTGTAGTTACTACCATTAACAAAATAAATGCTGTAATACTTTTTGCCAGCCATACGGTTTGGTTGACCAGAAGCCAAGTGCAGTGAATGTATGCATTGCTGTTGAGATCCTCTAATTTAACACATGTGAATAACCAATGTCCAGACTGGAGCTGGCGAGTATAACTGACCATAATATTTTGAGAACATTATTGGAATACACAGGAAACACTGATGGATACTGTTTGACAAACAAACTGACACACAGATGCGCAAACACACGCATGGAAACCAATCCACAAGTTTCTTAACGCCTACTAATTAGGCAATTAATATGCAAAGATTTCAACCCTAAAGTTATTAGGTCTGTGTATTATATAAAGCACTTATGTATCAATTTTCATTTTAAAAAAATGAGTGGTACAGAAAAAAATCAGTGGAACACATAAATTGTTTAATTTAAATAAAGTGATTAGTATTCACGGATTTCATTCTTAAATTGAACACGTATATGACTCACCCAGCGCACCTACTAGTATGTGCCAAGTTACATTGAAATTTGATACGTGGTAATGGAGAAATTAAATCCTTAATTATGCAAATTTAGTAATTAATAGGAATGGATTTCATTCTTGATGTAATGAGATTATTAGCACATATGTCCCAAGTTTTATTTAAATTTGATTAATGTGCTAATCACACAGAATTCAGTGAGGTATATAAAGGTCCCATAATTTCCAATGTATTTATGAAGTCCATCCATACACGAACAATATCTGGAATGACACAAATACTTGATTTTGATGAATTCGTAACATTATAATGGCTCCATTTGGGCCATCTTGAATCAGATCATAAAACAAATAGATGTGCATAAGTAAGATATATAATACAGTAAGTGTTTAATATTTGAATGTAATAGGCCAAGGAATGTCATAGATACATGCATGCTTTATCTATACCTTAAAATGATATATTTGACAAAGGTGAATATTGACTTCACTTGAGGTAAAAACTTTATTTATCATTTTCATTTAAGATAGTTAGATTAATATGTAAATATTATGCAAATTATTCTATCATGAAAACCCTACCAACAGCATACCATACATGTTGAGATTATGATATGAACATCAGTACAATGATCATACAATCAATTTCTTGGGTATATCTGTTTTGTATTTGTGCAGAAAATTATAACTATTATCATTATAGATAATTGCATCTTTCATAAATTACACAAAAAATGAACAGCTTGTAAATAAACAAATAATTAACAAATAATTAAACAAAATGTTAAGTAGTCAATTAAGTTTTATATATCAGAATAAATTATTTAAATGACCCCCCCCCCCCCATTCTGATACATATGTTACGTAGGGGAACAAACAATTGCACCAAAGCAGTAAATACTACAAATCCAGCAGGCATCTGTCTCCATGTGGTTATTACCTCATTTTTTCATAGAGATGATTTATACAAGTGACGTCATGAGTGTGTGTTATCTACTAATCCAAGGCAAATATAGCTCATGACGCCCACAAGTTATCAACCAGCTCTACCTTTTTATCACATGACCAAATCCAAGTGTCAAACAACAGAAAAATCGTGTTTTCACGCTTATGAATAATTATGCTAATTTATGCTAATTAGACATGGCTATCAAATTTGGCATATAAATGGGTGTCCTCTAAACTCCAAAGTTCAAACTCTCGATATATATACTACATATTCAGAATGTCACACCACCATTATAGTATAATGCCATACCAACAAAGACATGCAATCTGGGTATAAAAGAATGGAATAAATAGTGCGAAACTTGTTCATTCTAGAAATTAACATGAAGATAAAATCAAAATCAATATCTGGTCAGCATAAAACTATTTCTATATAATGAAGCAATAGCTCAATAGAACAGAGAAAATGAGTATTTGATGTTGAGATAAATAAACATCTTTTGGTAAAAAAATCTAATAACTTGTCTTGTAATAAGACTGATTTTGTTAACGTCTACTAGCATCTTTATATTGGTATTTGATGACTTCTTCCCATGTACTCATGATATGTTTGACAAGGATGTCTTCCGGGAAATGTTCAACAAAGCCAGTGATTTGGTCACCATCCTTATTCTCAATGTAAACTGGTAGAATTTCAGACAACCTGCAAACAAATACGAGGGGGCAATGTTAAAACAGAATTAAGTTTATTGAGGATTGTAGTTAAAATTATGTAGTCCTGAACATTTCTGAATTATCATCATTTGGTGACAGTACAGCATAACTCGTCATGATGGCAGGTCAGCGTTCTTGTGGAAATTACTCGATTATGGTCCAAACTGTGGGTTTACATTGTAAACCCTACACCTGTTTGTTGTGTTTCTAATACGTAATTCCAAATTCTGAAGAATCCTCAAAAAGGGTTATATAACTGAGTTTACTTGACATGTATTAAACTACATAGTGACATATCTGGTGACATGGATGATACTGTGTCTATAAATATTTAGATACTTATATATCCTTTTCGGGAAAAAAAAATATTAAAAAAAAATAATAATTATCCAACACATTTGTATAATAATGTTACTTACTTCCAGTTGTCAACATCTTGTTGTTCATCTTGCATCAAGTGTTTCTGTTTCTCCAAACCAATAACGATATAATCATGTAATTCATTAACCAGTGCATCAACATGGATATGTCGTAGGCCTTGTTGTAATTTCTGTATTTGTAGTAAATTCAGTTGGTCCCTAAAATCTTGTATGTCGAATGGGTCCTACAGTAAATAAGGTGCATTCAATGAGTGAAGTGGTAAAAGGCTGATATTGTGGACACGTAGGAAGAAGAGAGAAGTGGTGAAGTCAGTTTCACGGTATTTTACATTCTCTTTAGTTAGACCGATTATAACTGATTTGGTAGACACTTGGTGGACCTACAACTTCCATCGTCAGATTGTTTTCCATCAATATAGATTTTCTAGCTGTTGTCGAAAATCACAGATAAAGCTTTCATTTATTTATTTAGATTTAGATTATTTGGATTGAAGATGCGTATTACCCACTCATACTTTTATTCCCTGTAAGCAGGAAGCAAAATAATTTAAATAGACAATTGTTTTTGATTGTTTAGTCATTAAGAGTATAATAGTAATTATATCTAGTAGAAAAATGAATATTTTTATGGAGAAGCATAGATCAAAACAATACCCACACTTTTAATGATGTTCGTACACCCATCTACATCACAGAAAATTAATAAGGGAGTGCAACGTATAAAATTGATATTTGTATTAATTTCTTTTTTCCAATCTTATAAATGCATGCAGAATCCTACAACAAAAGAGCCTCACATGAATTCAACGAATGAATTGACTTACCTGGGAATTGAGCGTCAATCTCCTTGCTTTTTCTACAGCCAATAATTGCCATAGTGACAATATATGCTTCAGCTGACAGGGGTGCCTCACCTGTGAGATGAAAAAATTGATATTTTTAATATTTATTTGTAAGTCACATTATACACTGATGCTAGTTTTACCACCCTGACAGCCATACTCATTTCACTCCACATATTATCAACAGCTTTCAGAGAATTCATTGATGGTAAGAAAAAGTTGTTTATTTTATTGATATGGCTGACAGTAATTCTAGTTATTTGGACATATATGTATGCTAGGTTGGCGGAAAAACAAATCCTTGCTGATGAAAAAAAAGGTTTTAACAAAAATGTGTTTTTATATAATTTTATCAACAGGTAAACCTGGTTACATATCTGGATGATAGTATTCCGTGGTAATGCACTACTCATTTTGACAAGGACGCTAACAGGAACAGCACACAGGACCAACAGCTTTACATCCCCCTCCAACTGGAGGACACATTTCTAGCCCTAAATGCCATGATCCCGGCAAGTATTTACTCTTTATTCCCACTGCTGAGTGTACAGCTGATCATGGGAGTTGAACCTATAAGTTCCCTGATGCTGGGCAGAACGCATTAACCCATACATCAGGTTACACATTATTTAGAGGAAAGAATAAACAACTTGTGTAATATGTTCAGATTACGACCAAATCTCAGGCATGTCTGCAGATAAACATAAAGTACTATCATTACACAGATTTCCATGCCTACCTTCATATTCTCTTTGTCCATCTTCAACGTATCTACCAAGTATTTGATGATGTACATATCAGCTTTTCCACCTGATGATGCTAAGAATCCAATAGCAATGTCCAGGCATGCCAAAGAGTCACATACATCAGTCAAGGATTTCATTTCTGAAACTATCTGGTGCTGAATGGCTTTAGACAAGGATTCCTGTAATTACAATGAATGGTACATTGTTTATAGTAATCTAGTTTGAACATATAACATGTCAGAGATATGGATTCAGAAACTGATGCTTGATTACAATGATTTTTTAACATTAAAATGATTGACATTCAATCATCTTATATTTGATCGTCAAATGAGTACTTCTCCATATTGAGAGATATTTTTCTGGAACAGCATTTAATTAAAATAAAATGGGTACCAGTCAGCCATTTTGAATCCTCTCTGTAAAACAAAACGATGTGCATCAGGAACCCATAAAACCCATAAACGAATGAGATCTGGTTCCAGAATGCCAGCAATACTTGATGAGTTTTTAGCACAAAAATGGCCACCATTCGGTCATTTTGATTCAGATCATCAAATAATATATATCTATGACATGATGTATAATGAACATTATCAGTCAAAACATCTTGCTTGATTTTGGTGGTTTTCAGCACAAAATTGCCACCATTCAACCATCTTGATCAGATTGCGAAACATATTGAATTGCATAAGTATAATATTATGCATGATGTATGTATGCATGCATGCATTTCTAAGATATAGGTCCGGGCGCACACATGCACAGACGCATGCACACACGGATGGACACACAGTGGTCAATCCATAAGTAACTGTTTTTGGACCATGTTCAGACAGGAAGTAAACAACATACACAGTACTGGTAATGTATCATAATGCAGTAAGTTACAATTTAATTATTTCTAATCATAAACAATTTTTCCAGGTCAAAATTTAGTGAAACAATTTTCACATTTTTTAAATTTTACTTTTAATTTATTTGTTAATTTGGCCAAATTGTACATAATTTCCCATTGACTGTTTGCAAAACATTATTTGAAATAATAAAAAAGATATTCTGTGAAAGGTGACAACACTTAACGTTGGCATTCACCTTCATATCAGGTTTGAAGGGTCTATGCACACTTTGAATGTATTAGGTAAACACTTTGAGGTATTAGAAATATTTAATTGAATTTTGATTACTGTAAAATGACTAATTTTCACTGGTTTACCATTTCAGGCATATTCAGTGGGTTTTAAATTCACGGTTTTGTCATTTAGATAATGTGTTCTATGCTCAATTTGACATATTCACTGGGTTTTAATTTAGCGCATTTTCCAGTCAGCAAAATAATCAAAATTAAAACCTAGTGAATAATTAATCCTTTTACAGTACATACTTGTTGTATCCTATTACGCAGTGATTCAAATACTGCAGCATCTCTAGAATCCTGACGGAACACAAGCTGTTCTATCTTTCTCTTTATCTTGGCTTTCCCATGAATGAATCTCTCTTCCAGCTGCCTTTCCAGACCACTTAGATTATATTCCACCAGCGTGCCATGTCCAACTTGAAGTGAATAACTACAATGGGACAGCACTATAGGAAGGAGATCTTTCTCTGGATCATAAGCAATGAGATGTGCTGGCGTCAAGTCACATGGCAGAATCTCATCATCACTAGATTTATAAAATGAAACATTTACAGGACTGGTTATTTTCATTTGTTCATGATGAAACAGACAAGACAAAAGATGTTAGACATATGAAATAATCCATGAATTTCTTTTTCTAACAGGAACTAAGAAAAAATGCACCAATTGACTCTCTATAAAGTGATATACATGAATGATTACACTACTTGCCTACTATCCACTTTGCGTATTCTGACATACTGGTCAATAAATTCATTCTGCGTAATAATCAGGAAATCTACCAATGCAGTAGAACAGACTCCATCAGCTTTCCTGGTTGGTAACATCATAGCTATACTACTATTCTCATGAAATGGTTGACTGCATAGTTCTTTACTAACATGCAGACCACCTTGAAAACAATAATTATAATGTGAGTAAAACTGCTAAATAAATCATCTTCATCTAGCATGATGGCAATGCACTGGTGCTTTAATCCTTTGGGTGCCAGATATATTTCCCACTCAAAACTTTAAATTTCATCTGGTTCAGATATTGCTTTGAGTTTTTTGTTAGAAGGTTTGCCAATTTTTATCAACATTTCATTTGGACAGAAACAGGTAGACTGAACAAAATCATTTTGTAGATGGTGACAAAGGTTGTCAATGGCATTCAAAGGATCAACATGATCACACTTCATCAAAGTAGCAACCAAGTAAAAAACAAATTATAAATTCATCTGTGATTCAGACATTCTCTAAAAGCTACATAACAACCTATTCATTTTCTGAAAGCTGAAATATAGAAAAAATACAGTTACTGCATATGGGTATCAATTTTTCCAATGGCCAATTTTGTTTGTCAAAAAAGTTTAAAGGTGGTTTAACGCTTTGTGAAATTTCTGGCTCCACACTCATTCTGAAGTATTGTTTTTTGTGACAATTTACAGAAAACCTGCATCTTTTTTTTTTCTATGCTTCAGTGTTTTAATTACACCTTGTCACACCTGTCTAAAGGAATGCATTTTAGCAAAATGCCGTCTTTCAGCCTGCAGTATTAGGAATGTCCTTTGCAATTCACAGGTCAGTTGTGTGATGTGAAGTGTCAATTAAAGATTTTTTTCAATAGTTTTCAAAATTGACTATCAGGTAATTCCTTGGACAAACATTGCTAGGGCATATGCACTATCATATTCACCTACACCATCCATATTCACCTACACCATATATACCTACACCATATATACCTACACCATATTCACCTACACCATATACGCCTACACCATATTCACCTACACCATATATACCTACACCATATACGCCTACACCATATTCACCTACACCATATTCACCTACACCATATTCACCTACACCATATTCACCTACACCATATTCACCTACACCATATACACCTACACCATATTCACCTACACCATATACGCCTACACCATATTCACCTACACCATATTCACCTACACCATATTCACCTACACCATATTCACCTACACCATCTACACCTACACCATATATACCTACACCATATTCACCTACACCATATTCACCTACACCATATTCACCTACACCATATACGCCTACACCATATACGCCTACACCACATTCACCTACACCACATTCACTACACCATATACGCCGTACACCATATA